GTCGATTATTTTTATCTCCTGTAATTTTAACAGAGTTTGTCCACTTTCTTCAATATAGGTATAACTTGATTTCAGAGTCATCGAATTGTAAATCACAGCCATGGCATGTAAACATGTAAATTTTCATCTTCACCGCTATGCACAAAATTAAAATCTTGTCGGATTATTCTGATTTTTTTCATTTGAGTCTAAAATTTATCTGTAAATTTAAAAAATAATATAGAAATAACAGGGCTGGTAGCGAGTCACTTTTTAGTGACTTGGTCCCTTTTTTAAGCCAGTCACTAAAAAGTCTCTTTTTTAAGGCCAAGTCACTAAAGTCACTTTTTCTTGTAATAAGTCACTATTTCAAACTTTTTTAAACATGAATTTATTTCAAGATTGTTCATTCTTCTGGAAAGGCCTATATAGTATTTTGATCTATTTTTGAACAAATCGAAGTTGACGACCTGGTCTAGAGTTTTTTTTTTAAGTTTAATCGTTCTTCTCTTCTCAGTGTTCTCTCATTTGGTTAAATAAAGTTCCCTGAGTTTTCCAGGTTTTTCCATATTGCCAATTCAGAGAAAAATTAGCATTTGGCGTCAGATTATCAGCTTTAATAGCATGCTGTGGCTGTCAGTTGCGTCGAATTATTTTCCCTGAAACGGCAATAACTTTGGCGGATAATTTCCATGTTTATAATAAGAATGCTATTTATGAAATGCGTTAAAAACATGTTTTTAAAGCAAACGTTTTTAAGACATGACAATCAGTTGTAAAGAAACAGCATTAGCTCAAATCCATTAAGTGTTGAAGTTGAACACTTACTTCATGTTAGTATGTCTAAGATCACAACATTTTTAATGTTTTGACGTTTCGTACTATCAACTTTAAGGAAGTTCTATTGATCTCAGAAAAGCTAGATCTAGAGATCTTGAGGGGAAGTCCCCGAAACTTTAGCCCAGACTATTAAATTGATTTAAAAATCTATAAGCGTGAGTTTAGACGAATTCAGGATAGTTCCATGAGGTGCTGAAATAAAATCGAGAACCCATAGGATGTTCCGAAAGATTCAGTACAGAGACCTTCAGAAAATTTATGAAAACTTCAGAAATATTTCAGGAACTTCACAGAAATCCAGAGAATTCCAGGGAAGTTTAAAGGTGTTTACGAGAATGCCATTTATTTTAAAGCAGAAGCGAGATCTTCATTAGGGTTGAGAGTTTTATGGAAGCTCGGAGAACATCAAGACAGATCAGAGAATTAAAGGGCAGCTCAAAAAATTTCAAGAAAATTGCAGAAATCGGAATTTTCGGAAACTTTGGTTTGCTCAGAGAAAATTTCTGGGACGCAATAAATATTATATGAAGATCCGGAGAATGTGAGAGTATTTCAAGGGTGTTATATCATCGAAATTTCAACATCTATAGAAAATTCAAAAATTTTGCAAAGTTGATTAGAGAACATCAACGAAGTACCATTAATAAAAAAAGAAAGGCGAGAATTTTTAGCAAGCACCGATATTTTCAAGAAATTCCAGAGAACATCTAAGAAATTTAAATATTTTTGATTGTTTCATTATATTCAGTGAAGTTCCGGAAGAGATGAACTAGCCATATGGCTAAAAATCTCTATAATAAAGACAAAAAAAAAGTGAAGTCCGAGTACTTCGAGGACGATTAGATAACATCAGAAAAATCCCATTAACTTAAGAAAATTTGCAGCAACTTACAAAGAGTTCCTTGGAATTATGGAATATTTCGAGAATTATATGATTGATCCGGCTTCAAGGAATTACAAATATATATCAGAAAATATTTACCGGAACATTTGATCAATTTAGAGAAATTAAAGTAAGCATAGAAAACTTCTTGCAGGGAAAATTAGTGACTTAAGGCAAAGTTCCGTGAGTGTTTATAAACTTTATTAAACTTAGGGAAAATTTTAGAACAAAAAGGCAATTAAAGGCAGTTGAATTGTGGGTTCTTCTTAAAAAATACTAATACAGGGCATTCTAGAAAATGTTAAGAAAATTGAGAAATATTTTGGGCAGTTTTAAATACATCAGGAAACTCTAGACTATTGAAGAAATTATGAATTAGTTTCGATAATTTGAACTTCAGACTTATTCATTATTTCGCTGCGGAGTGAAAGCCTAAAGAAGTTTCTGAATTTTCAGAATAGCTTCGAAAATTTCACAGAAGTACAGAGATATTCAGAAACATTTCGAGAACTTTATTAAAGTCTATGGAACTTAAGGGAAGATCCGAAAAATTCAGGAATTTTTGTGGACATTTCAAATATCTCAAATAAATTTAGTAAAGCTCAAAAAACAAAGGGAATTTCAGGGGAGTTCAGTTCAATTAGTTTCACGTAGTTAGCGGGAAATTTCAAGAAGCTCCCAGAATTTCAGAGAACTTTAGAGATGTTAAGAAAATTATTGAGGTTTTCACATAAGTCCAAAAGTTCACGCAAGCTTAAACATTTTTAGAACAGTTCAATTAAATTCACGATAGTACAACAAGCTTCATGAGAACTGCAAAAACTTTAGAGAAGTTTCGAGAACTTCGAGAAAGATGTTGATCTCGCTAATAAAGCTCCAAACAAAAAACAACAAGGAACAGCCCTATGGAGTTGTACGCACTGGTGACGTAGGACTACGTGGTCTTATATAATAAATCTTATTTGTTAACAGCAGCAGGAGCTTGTGTTTTGTGTAGGAATAGGAATTTGAGCGTTTATACTCTTTAGTATGACGCGCTTGGCATAGATGGCCCACAGCTTTTTCGTTGTGAACTGGAGAACACCACCACTAACCATGCGATGATTGAATAAGCACCGTTTGGTGAGACCGGATGGAATTCAACTTTGAAATCTGTGTTAGAAAAATCGCTTTTCGCAGGCAATCGGTGATAATTTTAAACATGAAACATTCGTGCAATTTTCAATAGTGATATTTTGAAAAAAAAATGATAAAGTCTTAAATTCAACAGATGCGTAGAAATATTTCTTATCGATTGGTGATAAAATTATTGAAATTTAGCTGAGTTATTGACGTTCAAAATCTTTCATAATTTTTAACATTTTCTATTTTCGTTTTTCACAAAGTGTCCCCCATATAGAAATCACATACGTAGTCCTACGTCAAAAAAACCTTCAAGAAAGAACGGATATCCTAAGAGCAGGGAAATAACATAAATAACATAACACTTTAGAAAAGAATCATGACCGTTAGGAAAAATTGTGAAAAGTTTAGGGAGTCCGAAAAAGTTTAGAAAAGTTAAAAGAAATGATGAGAAGTATTGCGAGCATCAGGTTAGTTTCTCAAACTACAAAAGAACTTCAAGGCAGTTTGACTCCAGATTCTTGAAAATTTCTTGAAGTATTATAACTTTTCAGTTCAGAATTTATAAATTTATGTATTTGTTACTGAAGATTAATCCATTCTGGATCTATAAAGTTCAATGTGTAAATGAAAAGAACTAGGAATATTTTTGTTTTATTTTAAAATGCATTAGTAAGAAAATTATTAAATTTCCTGAGAAATGATAAGATTTCCTTATACTTCCTGGTATTTTATGTATATATATATTTTATATTATTATTATTATTATTATTATTATTATTATTATTGTTATTCTTATTGTTAATATTATATGTAGTCACTTTAACACTCTTGGGTCATTCGTGCCTTGTCCGGGCATGAGATTTGAACTCGTGACTTTGGGCGTGAGAGATATGGATGTTAACCACTATGCCGGAGCCTTCCTCCAATTAGCACCCTCGTCCGCCGATCGTCAATCCGGATGCTCTAATTGGCTGTAATCAAACGAACACAGATCTGGAAAAAGGGCCTAAAAGTTTTTGTAAACAATGTCTTCTCTAGATGATTTCTAGAATGTCAAGAGTCACCCACGTAAACCAACATAGTAATGTTGGTTTGCGTTGGCGTTTTTTCTAGAAATAATCGAGAGAGGTCATTGTTTACAAAAGCTGTTAAGCCCTTTCCCCAGCTGTGTATTGAAATAATCGCATTGGCAGTACGACGTATTTCGACAAACAATTCGCTTCTGTTGGTTGGTCCACATCTACAGTACTGTTGTTCCGATTTTTAGCACTCATGTCCACTGCATATTTGCGGTTTGCTCGTGGCCGTTCTCGTGGTACATGGCGCTTTCTTTATTGCATCGAACTCGTTAAAAAAAATGACATGTGATCGCAACAAAAACATGTGCCTTATTTTGTTGGAAGTAGACCTTATCATGTAACTTATGATTCTCGCTGTCTCTCTATGATTTGATTACATATTTGGAAGCAATTGGCAACAAGTTACACTGCTTTAACGGTCAAAACAATTAATCCTTGACTTTTGTTGCTTGTTTGTCTCCCGTTTGTTTGTAAACTGGTGTCTTAAATATATACACCTACTTTCATATGTGCCCTATGGTTGTTTATCAGCCTTTCGTAAATATTTTTGAGTGATAAACTCCCGAAAGCATGTCGGTGTCCATGCCTATCTATGTAATGTTGTAATCGGATTTGTCTACCTATTTCAATTTACAGTAGCACATAGCACACCCGCTGAGACACTCGCCTGCCATGCTTTTGTGATGATCGGTTTCACCACAAACAAATGCTCACCGAAAATATACTAACAACATGTGGCAACATCAGAATAGCCATAGTAGAACACTTATCACCCGGTCAAATCTTTCGCGCTTTCGGCCGAGCGCTCACCTTTGTCCGTTTGGTTGCCATTCGAGTTTACTGGCCGATCAGTTCGATGGCAGATTTCGGCTGAAACGGTTCCCTTCAAAATGAAGATCTTTCACATTGCCCTTATGCTGTACTTTTGTTGGATTTTGATGGTATATTCCAAGCAGATCACTGCCAAGTTCAAGCACATAAAATGCGAAGAAGAGGAAAAGGTTGATATAGGTTCTATGGGGGGGAGGAACATCTGCATCAAGATCCCGGTACTAATCGTTGGTGTTTTCCTTTCTAAAATTTTCTCATTGCAGATTTTCGGTAAATCCTACGAGTGACTGTGTGAAATAGCACGCAGAGCCGAACCAGATCTCAGTTAGTGTCGGTTGTGTTGAATCAGCAGCAGAATGGGTAAGGAGAAGATTCATATTAACATCGTCGTCATCGGACACGTCGATTCCGGCAAGTCCACCACGACTGGTCATTTGATCTACAAGTGCGGTGGTATCGATAAGCGTACCATCGAGAAGTTCGAGAAGGAGGCCCAGGAAATGGGCAAGGGCTCGTTCAAGTACGCCTGGGTCCTGGACAAGCTGAAGGCCGAACGCGAACGTGGTATCACCATCGATATCGCCCTGTGGAAGTTCGAAACGGCCAGGTACTACGTCACCATCATCGATGCCCCTGGACATCGTGATTTCATCAAGAACATGATCACCGGTACATCGCAGGCTGATTGTGCCGTGTTGATCGTTGCTGCCGGTACCGGCGAGTTCGAAGCCGGTATCTCCAAGAACGGCCAAACTCGTGAACACGCCCTGCTGGCCTTTACCCTCGGCGTCAAGCAGTTGATCGTTGGTGTCAACAAGATGGACTCGACCGAGCCTCCGTACCACGAGGCTCGCTTCGAGGAAATCAAGAAGGAAGTCTCGTCCTACATTAAGAAGATCGGTTACAACCCATCTTCAGTTGCGTTCGTTCCGATCTCCGGCTGGCATGGTGACAACATGCTCGAACCATCGGAAAAGATGCCATGGTTCAAGGGATGGGCCATCGAACGCAAGGAAGGCAAGGCTGAAGGCAAGTGTCTGATCGAAGCCCTCGACAACATCTTGCCCCCGTCTCGCCCCACCGACAAGGCCCTGCGTCTGCCCTTGCAGGATGTCTACAAAATCGGCGGTATCGGTACGGTACCGGTCGGTCGTGTTGAAACCGGTGTCCTAAAGCCAGGTAATTCTTTCTCCTGTGAATCCCGAAAAAATCAAACCTATAACTAACACCCACATTTTCACCCGTTTATTCTATCCCAAATTAAAAAAAAAAACAGGCATGGTGGTCGTGTTCGCCCCGGTCAACATCACCACTGAAGTCAAGTCGGTCGAAATGCACCACGAAGCGCTGCAGGAGGCCTTGCCCGGTGACAACGTTGGCTTCAACGTCAAGAACGTCTCGGTTAAGGAGTTGCGCCGCGGTTACGTCGCTGGCGATTCCAAGGCCAGCCCACCGAAGGGTGCCGCCGATTTCACCGCTCAGGTAAGTCTATAGTGATGCGCGTCGAGTATTTGCTAAACAATGCAGAAGTGCAAGTGGTTGAAAAGTGACACGAAATTAGAAGGTGTGCGGTCTCTTTCTGAAACATTATATAGGGAAAGTGCAGAGTAGGAAAGTCGTCCCAAGTATTGAGTTTAGAGTTGGTTGGAAATGCTATCTAACATGAAGTTTTAGTGTGATAATTTATTAGCTAGATAATGGTCTTAGAAGAGGATAGGTAGATAGTTCCGTTAGAGTACGGCAGTATGAAAATTGAATAGAAGTTGAAAATGAGCGAAGGGCCATTAATGCGACAGTGCAAGTCAAGACATACTCCAAATCTCCGCGTACATCGTACAGGTTACGCAAAGAGTGTGCGTTTGACTTACACTGTCGCATTAATGGCCCTTCGCTGCCGTACTCTAACGAAACTATCTACCTACGCTCTTCTAAGACCATTCTCTAGCTAATAAATTATCACACTAAAGCTTCATGTTAGATAGCATTTCCAACCAACTCTGAAAATCGCAAACTTCGCGTATGAAGTAACATAAAAACACTTTGAATGTATTGAGTTTTGTTTCTTGAAGAATGTGTCTATGCTCAAACCGCTCAGCACACATTGCAAGCCAGGCTGTTTGCTCAGTGTAGCATACGGCAACGGCAGGTGGTTATGTTGAAACATATTTTTCCCGTTCGGTCTAAACATAAAATGTAGACCATCCGAGAACGCAACAACATTGACAATATCTATCATTGGGAAAGATAGGGTAGAGAACTACTTCGGCCTAATCGCCCTTTTTGGGCCTATCGAGCAGAAAACTTCAAATAAATCCATGATATCAGAGTTAACAAGTCAATTATGCGTTTGGTACGATACTTTAGTTTATAAGCTACCGAACGAAGTCAATAAGAACGCGTGATATGAAGGTTTGTACCCATTATTCCCAAAAACAAAAGAAGCGCTCGGACCGAATCAATTTTTATCTTCATCCGATAGGCCGAAGGGAATTCATTGGCGCTTCAATGGCGTTTCCTTTACATTAGTTTTTACAGAAATTTTGTTCGAGTCTCAACGTCTGTTCTCTGTGCCAAAAATAAGTCTCTCAACCGATTGTCATTAAATATTCAGGGAATGTAATCTATATAGGGGAAGTGGCTCTAATGTTGGCCATTTGGCCATCCATTTCCCCTATATAAAAATGAATTTCCGTCTATCTGTCTGTCTGTCTGACCCTTATAGACTCGGAAACTACTGAACCGATCGGCGTGAAAATTTGTATACAGGGGTTTTTTGGGCCGGAAAAGGTTCTTATGATGGTTCGAGACCCCTCCCCCCTCAGCAAGGAGAGGCTCCCATATAAATGAAACTGAAATTTCTACATACTACTCGAGAACTAATCAAGCAAATGGAACCAAATTTGGCATGTTGAGGTATAAGGAGATGGTCATAGGAAGTAGCCCCTAAGATAAGAGGGGAAGTGGCTACGTACAATATAGCATGCATTTTTTTAATCGGCGCATAAACTCAAGCTAATATTGAATCCCGAGCAAGGCCGGGCACACTCAGCTAGTACTGTTTAAGTTTGGTTTACGTATCTTTATTTCACTCTATTTCTTCACCAAATCCAAATGCCCGAACTTTCTTCTTGATTCCACCCATACGGTTTTGTACAACTGTTGAATCGTTTTGTACAACTGTTGAATCGACATTTTTTTCTGCTTTCAACCATGATTTCCTGCTCCGTAGTGACAACTTTAGGATGCTTACGGAGCTCGTGCTTCATTATAGCCTACATAGTATCTTTCGATCGGCCGCAACTCCGGTGTGTTTGGGGGATTGAGATCCTTCGGCACGAAATTGACCCCATTCGTCTCGTACCACTCCAGAACGTCCTTGGAGTAGTGACAAGAGGCTGAATCCGGCCGAACAATTGTAGGAACATTGTGTGATTTGAGAAACGGAAGCAGTCGTTTCTTCAGGCACTCATTTATGAAGACTTGGCCATTTAAGGTTGTAGTTGTTACGAAAGGTTTGTCCGTTTTCCGCACGAACAAATCGCCTGCCAAATCATGAATTTCTTGGGGAACTTCGACGCTTGCTGTTTCCCGAGGGACTCTGAAACATCGAACTTGTCCTTCGCAATCACATACTGGTTTCCCGGAATTTGTTTGAAGTCCGCTTTTACGTATGTTTCATAGTCCATAATACAGCAGGGTGATTTTATCAACAATTGTATGTAGGGCTCACGTGCTCGCGTTCTATCTGCTCGTTTCTTGGCTTTCTGCACGAAACTTGTTGTCATGTGCAGTTTTCTCGCGACATCCCGAACGGAATAGTTGGGTTTGCTTTTCAAGGCAGCAACCACTAGCTTGTGATCTTCAAAGCAGTACGGAACACGTTTCCTTGTACTCACTTGCTTCCGATAGACAGTTAAACCAGAAAGGTAAGACCAGAAGGTCCCCAAGAAACGTGCTCAACTTCTGGCTCAGCTCTGGTACTCTCTTCGGTCCCAAGCTAATCGATGCACCCCTCGAAACATAGGAAAATCCACGAACCCCTAATTTTATCTGTCAAACTTTCATAGCGAATCAAAACAAACAGTGTAGTACTAGAATTTCGACTAGAATGGAGTACGCTTATAGATGTACTTGGGACCAATAGGCTAGTCAAGAAGTGAGCCAATTTAAAATCGTTAGTTTCCACCGGTTGGTTAAACCATGTTAAACGTTCTCCGAAACGTTTTATAAGACGATAAACAGTAGATTGTTGGATTCCCAACATCTTCCCGATGGCTCGGTGCGAAAGATGTGGTTTGTTGAGGTGAGTGTGCAAAATTTTCTCACGCACATTCTGTTCCTTCGACTCCATTTTCAAAACTACTAGAAAATGCACACGCTGAGGCCATCTCACCCGAAATTTAATTAAAATGAACCCAAAGGGCAAAATGTTATAGCTTTTTTAAAGTGATAACTGTGGACACCCTTTATTTAGTAGTAGCCATTTATAATCAGATAGATCTCAATAAAATCAGCTTTAAGAAAACCACCGGTTTATTCACTCGGCTTTATTAACTACTGTTTAAATACACGCGAAATAATTGGAACATTTTCCGGTTGACTAACCATCACTTACCAATTGCTGTTAAAGTACAAAAAGAAAATTCAGCACGAAACAAAAAGCGTTCACAGAAATTCCGTTCTAATTAATCGATGGAAATCGTTTCTGCACTTACTGGCCATCAGATTTCGCTAATGCTGTTTGTGGTAACATCTATTGGAATTATGTGTAATTTCCGATAGATGTTACCACAAACAGCATTAGTGGAAGCTGATGGCCAGTAAGTGCAGAAACGATTTCCATCGATTAATTGGAACGGAATTTCTGTGAACGCTTTTTGTTTCGTGCTGAATTTTCTGTTTTCCGTGAGTTTTTAACAGAGGACAGTACCGTCAACATTCTAAGAAATCCCTTTTACAGACTTCAAAATAGAGTCACCTGGGTTGCTGCCATTGTTTTTGGAAATTAAGAAACCATTAGATGGTGTAATCCCAGACAAACAGACATATCTCTTCACTCATTTAACAATTGGTTTAAATTGTTGTTAGTTGGCAGTGTAGCCACCGGTGGAAACTAACGATTTTAAATTGTTTTACTACTTGACTAGCCCATTGGTCCCAAGCAAATCGATTAACGTATCCCATTCCAGTCAAAGTTCTAGTAGTACACTATGTTTGTTTTGATTTGCTGTGAAAGGTTGACAGATAAAATGAGGGGATCTTGAATTTTCCTATGTTTCGAGGGGTGCATCGATTAGCTTAGGACCGAAGAGAGTACCAAAGCTGAGCCAAAAAGGTTGAGCACGTTTTTTTCGGGACCTTCTGGTCTTAGAGTTACCTCTATGGTGTAGCCACCGGTGGCTCGCAAAATCACTTCTGTGGAGTTTAACGTTTGAACACTACCGCCATCCTGTTGAGCACAGCGCCCTCCACAGTTGGCGATAGTGTTATGGACGATGTATTACCATACAGGTAACTCTAAGACCAGAAGGTCCCGAAGAAACGTGCTCAACTTTTTGGCTTAGCTCTGGTACTACATTCAGTCCCAAGTTAATTGATGCACCCCTCGAAACATAGTAAAATCGACGAACCCCTCATTGTATCGGTCAAACTTTCACAGCGAATCAAAACAAACATAGTGTAGTGCTATAATTTCGACTAGAATGGGGTACACTTACAGATGTACTTGGAACCAATAGGCTAGTCAAGTAGTTAGCCAATTAAAAATCGTTAGTTTCTACCGGTTGGTATTACTATCGTCTAATGTAAAGTGTCAGTTTTGATCTCATAACTACTGACAGCATGGCGCCACCTATGGGGAAAAAGTTATTCTAAAAAGATTTCAAGATTTTTGCGATTTTAAAAGCGAAAACATAAATATAATTGCTTGCGTAGACTTTCCAAACGTGTAATTAAATGAAATAACAGCCCTGAAAATGCCTAAACAACCCATAAATCACAACAAAAAATTGTTTAAGGAAGTTAGATTCTGTTAAGAGGTTTCAAGTGGCATAAGACCATTGCAATGCTTCTGTCAATTTAGTTGAAAACTTATTTTGATATTCGCAAATTTTTAATAATTTGAAACTCAAGCTAACTAGCAAAAAATGGTCAATAGCTCTTCTCTTATGTTACGCGAGAAAACATGACCTCAGGAAAGTGTACTCGATATTAAGGACATTAAGGACTGTTAGGCCGTTCGCAATGCTGAGTTTCAAAATTGTTTTAAACTACTCGTCAATTCTATAATTTGAAACTGTCAAAAATAAAACTGCAACACGATCAGCGCAACGCACAGTTCTAAAAGATGTTTGTAATCATCAAGTTCCATAAACTTTACTGTTCTCTATGAAATTCTCCGTTTTTTATTTGTGAAGCTCTCGAAACATCTCTAACACATCCAAAGAAATTTGAAACAGAGTTCCAATCGTGTTTCAAACTCGCTCAGAAATAAAACAGAATAGTCGAGCAGTTGCAAATCTGGTGCAAAATAGTGCTCGAATAATGAAACTGCAACTCAGCATTGCGAGAGGTGCGTTTCTGTTCAAGTTTCAAATTGAAACAGTCCTTATAAAATACAACAGCATTGCGAACGGCCTTAGACTGGCTCAAATTTATATGGGAGAAAAAAATGTTCAGGTTTTTCATCGGACCTCCAAATTTGTGTCTTGAGATGAGGAAACCACTCCTTGAAAGTTTCACCTCATTTGGTTGTAGCGCGGGCTGGCATTTTAAGTTTTGCATGAAACTTTGCATAATTGTTTTTTATGGTCAATCATTCACATTTGAGCTAAAATTTGGCTATTTTCAATATCGCTTAAAACTTGAGAATGAAGTATTCGGACATTTTCAACAAATCAAAACTCGAAAACGTCGCTTCTAATCTAAATGACATCTGAATGTAAAATATTCAAAAAATATTGACGAGGGACTTGTTTTTGTTATTTAACTTTTAAGGGGTCAAGCCTACCTACCTGTTATCACAAACGAAGTGACAGACGACTAACTGGCGGAGAAATCAATTAAAATAATGTGGTTTGCTGTAATAGAATTTTCTTGGCAGCTTGTGCCAGATGGGATAGTATTTTTGTTTTGGTTTTGCACAAAGTTGATTTTGTGTACAATGATTCTTTGACAGTGTGCAAAGAGTGTATCATTTTGTAATTTTTTTTATGCATGTTTAGCACCAAACGGAATGTTATTATTACTTATGGCTTCCAAATTTATTTACCTTTCCGTACGCACCATAAGATTTGATAAAGAGAAACCAATCGTTGAGATATTGTCAAAAGTCTAACACTGCTTCTTGACGCCAAACTCGGCCTACGGATTCTAAACTCGGCCTAACGCATTGAAACCCCATTGAAACGCCAATGAATTCACTTCGGCCTATCGGATGAAGGTAAAAATGGATTTGGTCGGAGCGCTTCTTTTGATTTTGAGAATAATGTGTGCAAACCTTCATATCACGCGTTCTCATTGACTTCGTTCGGTAGCTTATTAACTAAAGTATCGTACCAAACGCATAATTGACTTGTTAACTCTGAAATCATGGATTTATTTGAAGTTTGCTGCTCGATAGGCCCAAAATGGGCGATTAGGTCGAAGTAGTTCTACCCTACATTAAATTTTGTTAATAATAAAGACTTGTGCGGATTGCTTCATGTGGGCTATGACGGACCTTTTAAGAAACTTTAAAGTTGCTAAGAAGTTCCACTGGGAACTTGTTCGGATCTTTGTTGTGGCCATGTTTTCAGCCTTGCCTGAAGTTCCTAAGTAGTGCTTAGGGATGCTTTTTGGAACGTTTTTTGATTTTCAAGTTGCTAGGAGTACGCATCGGAACTTTTTGAAGCCTGAAGTGCCTCGTTCCAACACAACATTTTGGCTACTTTAGAAACTGTAGAAAGCACTACAGTTTCTAAAGTAGCCAGAATGTTGTGTTGGAACTTTATATGCACTTTATGGAACTTGAAAGTGGGTTTTATCGTTGAATGCAGAACTTTTGGTTGCTTGGGAAGAAAGTGCTGTTAGAACTTTATTTGAATTTTATGGAACTTGAAAATTCTGTCGGAAATTTATTTGAACTATATGAAACTTGAAAGTTCTGTCAGAACTTTATTCGAACTTTATGGAACTTAAAAGTTCTGTTGGAAATTTATTTGAACTTTATGGAACTTGGAAGTGAGTTTTATCAACCGGTGGAAACTAACGATTTTAAATTGTCACTTATTTATGTATTTTAGTTTTTCTCATAATAATAGCAAGCAGAGATGTTATAGTCATAAAATTTCTGATCAATGGTTTAATTTACACAACATTGAGGAATTAGAACGAAAAGAGGCTGAATATATAAGGAGACGACATGTCAAAGTCATAGGAAAATTTATTCCAATTGGCAAATCAAAGTTGGCACGCGTGGAGAATAGAAGAACTATGAAAGTCATGATGGTTTCAAAATTTTCCTCGGGGAGGTATACGAGTACAATCTTAAAATGCTTTTATTTTGCAAATGGAGTATTTTATTTAAATCTGGTTTGTGCTACAGTGGTAGAAAAGCTAATATCTATGTATGCACCTAAAAATCTGAAAAGAATTTTTTTTTCTATATTATATGTCTATTGAGTAGTCCTTAAGTTTTCTACTAATGTAGCATCAACCAGATTTAAATAAAATGCTCCATTTGCAAAATAAAAGCGTTTTAAGATTGCACTCGTATTACCTCACTGTGTAAAATTTTGAAACCATCATCACTCTCATAGTTCTTCTATTCTCCACTAGTGCCAACTTTGATTTTCCAATAGAGCAGAAGACCTGTCAAATGGATAAAATGTCGCCTCTTTACCCAATTCAGTCTCTTTAGTTCTACCACAGAGGTAACTCTAAGACTAGAAGGTCCCAAAATAACGTGCTCAACTTTTTGGCTCATCTCTGGTACTCTCTTCGGTCCCAAGCTTATCGATTCACCCCTCGAAACATAGGAAAATCCACTAACCCCTCATTTTATCTGTCAAACTTTCATAGTGAATCAAAACAAACATTGCGTAGCACTAGAATTTCGACTAGAATGGGGTACGTTAATCGTTTGCTTGGGACCAATAGGCTAGTGAAGTAGTGAGCCAATTTAAAATCGTATGTTTCGTATTGATTGTTGGTTCTACCGTTTGTGTTGTGTGAGATAGACGATGGTAGCACGCGTGTACGAATACAAACAGACTGTCGCGCACGACAACGAAGCGAGTGTAGTAAAAAACGTCAACTGTTTCAACCCCTGCCCGGTACGCCGCTCGTGAATGCATTTTTTAAAAGACGTTCCGCGAAGGTCACGCTGGCACGAGCAAAAATTATCTAAAATCATCACACCTCGCAATTTGAAGAGCAAACGTCTCAAGATCTACGAGGTGTATACATCTGAAAATTTCAGACATTCCTTGCTTCTCCGCAGCAAACAACAAGTAGGAGTTTCAGCTACGTGCATTCACAGAAACCTTATTATTTGTACATGTGAAATTGCGAAAAAAAAACGCCGGGAATCACCTTAACAATCAGTCAATTCAAGTGGATTTAAAAAATGTTTTTGACAAAATGGCGGCCTTTGAAAATCTTAAAAACAGGTAAAAACTGAATTTTTTGATTGTTTACCCAAAGTTACTTGAAATTTCTTACCGTGTATATTTTTCCTGAAAAGCAATTATTTTTTTCCTACAATTTTGTATAAAACGTCATTTCGACTGGAAGTGACGTTTTCGAGTTATGATTTGTTGAAAAATATCGAATACGCCATTTTGAACTTTTGTGCGATATTCAAAATGGCCGAATTTTAGCTCAAATGTAAATGATTCACCATAACAAACAATTATGAAAAGTTTCAGGCAAATCGGAGAAATTCGAGCCTGAAATTCTTTTTATTTATTTTTTTTGCTATTTGGCCTAATGTTCAATAATGTCCGTGCTATTTTAAAATTTAGAGCTATAATTATTTAACTTTTCCATAGGAAGACAATAGTTTCCTGACACTTTTTCTCACTCCTTTCCAGGTCATTGTCCTGAACCACCCGGGTCAGATTGCCAACGGTTACACCCCGGTGCTCGATTGTCACACCGCCCACATCGCGTGCAAGTTTTCCGAGATCAAGGAGAAGTGCGACCGTCGTTCCGGCAAGGTCACCGAGGAAAATCCCAAGTCCATCAAGTCCGGCGATGCCGCCATCGTCATCCTGGTGCCAAGCAAGCCGTTGTGTGTCGAGAGTTTCCAGGAGTTCCCACCGTTGGGACGTTTCGCCGTACGCGACATGCGTCAGACCGTCGCCGTCGGTGTCATCAAATCCGTAAACTTCAAAGAAGCCTCCGGTGGTAAAGTAACCAAAGCCGCCGAGAAGGCCCAGAAGAAGAAATAACTAGAGACACAGGAACACCCGAGTACAGTAGTAGCGGTAGCAAACGGCACTGCTAGCAGCACCAGCAGCAACAAGAACAGCAGCAACACTACTCTTACCACTACTGCTACAAAAGATAAACCAAAAAACCAATTCTCAACATTATTATTATTGAATAATGATGCCCAAATGTGGACTTTTATTGACTGTGCAATCCAGTCGGCGGTTGCCGTCAATAGAAATCATCCATTATTATTAAATAATAATTTAAGAAGTAATATTAATCGTAAACTACAACTTAATAATAATCGTAATAATTTAAAGAAAAACACTGAGAAAAAAATTCAGGCCGGCTGGTGCATAGAGGATTTTATTGGTAACTTTGCTAACAAAACCACAGCAACAACAACAACAACAGGAACAGCAACACGCTCATCATCACCATCATCGTCATCCCTATTGTCTTGCTTCAATCAGCTGACTACCGTTTCGTCCCAATCATCGGTCCTTTCCTCCTCCAACAACAACAACAACAACATCAGCATAACCAGCAGTAGCAGCAGCAGCAGCAGCAGTGATCACTACCCATCTCCATCATCAGCATCATCTGCAAAGAAGACTAATTTATTTTATCACCATAGAAAAGCATTTCGAAGGAAAGAAGACAACAGCATCAGCAGTCTGCAACAAATTGTCGCCAACATTACCATTATGATCGCCATCTCCGTTGAGTATCTTCTTCTCGCCATCACCAACAACGCTCTGCTCATCACATTCACTACTGCTAGCTTAGTTGGTTCTACTAATTTTGAGACCGCTTGGTCATGATAAGATCGTAAGACTATAAAACGAAAGCATATACTTACCTAAGGTTTTGGAACGATTTTAATTTTTAAGTCACACCTGTGTTTAGGCATTACATTTTTGTAATTTTAAAAAAAGACATCATCTGATTTTTGTTCCAAGTGATCATCTGCTTATGAAAAAGAGAAGTGAACAAAATAAAGAGAGTGATCTACACAATAGAGAGAAGATAAGAAATTGGCTGATTTGTTTTTTGCAAACTATTTGTGATATCTACTGTTTTCTGTAATAAGGACTATGTTTTACCCGAAAATCTGATTTTCAAACCGATGAAACTGAAGCATAAAAGACACCTGTTCCCCTTGCATTGCAAAAAGATAAAAAGGAAAAACTACACCATCATCATCATCAACGTCATCATCATCATCATCATCATGCTGCTAGATGTGGCTTTGGAACTTGGCGTGAGCATTCTCCTGTGGAACGCACATTGTGAAAAGTTGTTGAATGGATTGCATTTCACGCACATTTATGTCGATCCCCCTGATGTTTAGTGTAGTGTGCAATACCGGATCTCCGTCATAGAGAATGCCGGGTTTACCTTCATCATTCACATACACATTCACAAACACACAAATCTACACAAGAAATCCTTTCGTACGAGTCAGGAATAAGCAAAGAAAACCAAAAATGATGATAATTTCATGGGAAAATTCTACTTAAACATACACATGGATGTAGCAATATGCAAGCATACCTACTAAATGGAGAAAAGTACTACAAATAAAAAATGGGAAAAATTGCCAATAAAAATCAAGACAAGGCTTGAACAAGTTATTGGAGTTTTTGCTCTAGGAATCCGAAAGCCTTATCAAACTGACTTATATTGATTGTTGCGAATCTCGATGGCCCTATAGAGATCTCCAAGCGCAATCTCACGAACACTAAAATCCAACATCCATATATAAAAATGAAGAAGAAGAAGAACAAAATGGTATCGCGATATAACCACTACTTAAAAAGGTAGCGCGCGGTCTCACGCACACTTTTGTGCATCTGGAGAACTCTATTCTGCAAAGTAGGGATACGTATGCTGATTGTAGAATATTTCACGGAGTGCTCCATTTCGCGGAATTTTATTTTGATAACTGACTTACTTTTTATCAACGGTTTGAGTTGAAGATTACGAGTACAGGAAATCTCGAAAGAACTAGTTTAACTCAGAAGGAAAATTCTCCTAAAATTATCAAATTCAGATTTCGCATTGATCATTCAAATTCAAGTTTGCCAAAGTTCTGAATGTACCGAACATATAGAACTGATCATGTTTAAAAGGAGTTCTTATTCAGATTTCTTATTTATCACTTCAAGTCAAATTTTTCTCAAATTTCAGAATGTCCCAACAAACAATTTGTGCTGAATAAAGGCTGAATAAGCAACTTTTTAGCTGAAGAAGCATAGTTTTGCCTGAATAAGCTCTTATTCTGCTTCCAATGTTTGTTAGGGTACGTTATAGCTCGAAAGAACTGTTCATGTTTTAAACAAGAAAAAACTAATACTAGAATTAATAAATTCAGATTTCGCATTCATCATTCTTATCCAGATACTCAAAAGTTTCCCAATGTTCGTAATTACAGAAAAATTATAAAAGATTGCTCATGTTTAAAGAAGGAAAATTCCCAAAATCATTATTAAGATCAAATCTAGGGGCAAGACAGCTTTTGATCATGAGTTAAAACCGAGTTAATTTTGAGTAACTCTGACTAGATCGAGTTATTCAAAATTCAATACAAGTAGACTCAGCAACCATGTTTTTGTTGTGCTGATTTCCCAGATGTCAAACAATATCATCTAAACGCGTTTCATACCGGATCATCTCTCTCAAGTTTTGTAATTGTTCGTCCTCCGGAAAAACAGTATAGTCCATCATTTATCGATTCGTACCGTGTAATTGTTCCATTCTATTTTCAGATTATAAATAAGTCTTCTAGTCGCACATCTATGAGTAGTAACTTGAAGAAATTTAGCTTTCCTGACCCTCGACTGAAATAACCACGGCCCTCACAGTATTACAACGATTTGTACTGGAAATTCAATGCAGCAGTTCAATGTAGTTGTAGTTAGAGATAATATTCGATTATTTCAAGCATAACTTTTCAAAAGGACGTATGTAACATTGGATATGAAATTAGAAACATTTGATAGCAATGTCTATATGAGATTATTAAATGCTATTTAAAAGTTAATGCTATTTTTTTTTAATCTGTTTGTGCTATTAGTTGGATAAAGGGATAGCGTTTAAGAGAATTGCGAAAAATGTCGAGTTTTGCAAACACGGACAAGACTATTGATAAAACAAAATCATACACCTTTTACTTGTGTACTACTCACATACACCCTGATTGATTCGTCGGTCTCACATCTTGATTGTTACATACACCCTGCATGATTCGTCTCTTTGACAGAAGGGTTTTCACATACGTCAAATCAGATACACCGGTATTTGTTTTGCGTGAAGATACGTCGGCAGCTCGAAAAGCATTGAGGAATTGTCGGTTGGTTGGTTTATTTACATAACTACCCAGAGTTGTGAAATAATCGATGTTAAAAGCGGAGATGAGAGGGTCACCGCATTATCTGCTGTCAGATGTTATACGTTTTGTGTTTTTCGTATTAAGAAAGCGTTGGTCAGATTGGTATGTGTAGTTCAATATTAAAGTGCAATTTTATTAGATTACTTTTGAAATAATAAACATGTTGCTCCCGGAAATACAAAAACAAACATACAAACTTGACGCATTTGCTGATTGATAGTGGTTGCTTTGTTTTTTTTCACATACGACGCTTCACTGTGAGTGTCCCAACAAACATTGCATGTTGAATAAGTGCTTATTCAGGCAAAAATAAGCTTCTTCAGCTAAAAAATGGCTTATTCAGCTTTTGATCAACTCAAATTGTTTGTTGGGGTATCTGCAGTTTTTGTGTAATCATCAAATTTTAACAGTTAAGTTATGTTGACAATATAAGGGTGTATCAACACCATTTTAAAAACAATGAAAGAAGGACACAAAGGGCGTTCATTACATATATTTTCCATAATGCATTACAATTTCAAACCTTGTTTTTCATTAACTCGTAGGAAAAGCATGGATTTTATATTCGGTTAGATGCAAAATATCGATTTGTTTATTTTTGCGACTTACGTCCTTTTGAAAAGTTATGCTTGATTTTATTATATTATTGCAACATTGTACATTGTATATTATGCATTAAAAACACAATATGCCTCATTAGTGTACCATGGCTCGACGACAAACACAACTGTTTTCAGAAGGTTTTTCAATAAGGAATTCCATGTTGCCGATGATTACAATTTTCAAATTCAAGCATGCGGATGGAAGACTTAATTTTTAAATCGGACCAATCGCTTTGGGTAGAAATCTAATTTATTATTTCTCTCCCATGTTACTGACTACAGTTTTTGTTTGCTATAAATTTTGTCCAAACTGTTACAAAAATATGCATCAATACTTTTTAAATCCGTGCCATGTGATTGGGTATTCAGGTTCTTTTTATAACAGTAACGGTGAAACCATAGAGGTAAATCTAAGACTAGAAACGAAGAAACGTGCTCAACTTTTTGGCTCAGCTCTGGTTCTCTTTTCGGTCTCAAGCTAATCGATTCACCCCTCGAAACATAGGAAAATCCACTAAACCCTCATTTTATCTGTCAAACTTTAATGGCGAATCAAAACAAACATAGTGTAGTACTAGAATTTCAACTAGCATGGGGTATGTTAATCGATTTGCTTGGGACCAATAGGCTAGTCAAGTAGTGAGCCAATTTTAAATCGTTAGTTTCCACCGGTTGGTGAAACTGCCATACAAGTCCACCACCAAACTGCTATTTCGCTTTAAACGACGGTATACTATAGGCAGTCTTGCTGATAGGATAAAAACTGTATTATCAACCATCTCTGGAATCGGTTCCGTAGCCTCATGACAAGCACTCGTTGGGTTGCCGTCGATGTTTATTCAAACTGATGACAGTTGACCTGATTCCACTTGTTGACTACTTTGATCACTTTTGAGTAATTATGAGTAACTCAAATTTACTCGATTTAAAAATATTAGCTCGGAGTACAGCTGGCTTGCCCCTAGGATCAAATGCTGCTTCAGTCATTCCGCCAAACGAAACTCCGTGGAATCAGAGTTACCTCTATGGATGTACTTAGGACCGATAGGCTAGTCCACTGTGAGCCAATTTTAAATCGTTAGTTTCCACCGGTTGCTAACGATTTTAAATTGGCTCATTACTTGATTTGCCTAGGGGAAAAGTTGGCTTCGGCAATACCTTAACCTATTATCGTCAGGGGGGTAAACAACGTCCTTGAGAGCTCAATTTTGGCATGTGGATACATTGTGTTTCAGATCAACTATTGGCCAAATTTTAGTGCGCTAGGACCTAGGCTAGGACTTTGTTTACCCCCTGACGATAATAATAACAATAGAGCTTATTGTATTTATTTTGCTGAGATTCAGTAAAACAATTGTCGAGACTCAGCTAACAAATAACATTTTGCTGAGATATCAGGCTAACAAACAGATATTTTGCAGAGATATTAGCAAAAGTAAATGCCGAGGTAATCGGCTGTTGGAGATTTTACCAAGCTAGATTAAGTGTTTGTAGATTCACGGTAAATTAACAGCTTTACGGTGAATAACTAAAACTCATTAAAATTGAAAACCGAGTCTTCAGTACTGATTATATTTTACTGAAACAGTCATCAACAGAAATTTCAAAATTACTGTTCACACCAGTAAATTGAATTACTTTAGAGCAACCGTAACGGTCGTTGTCATTTGCGCGACTATTTTAACAGCGCACAGCGTTCGCATTTTAGTTTAGTCACTCTTCTCCACACCGGTCGCTGCTATCGCGGTTATCAATTTACTCGCCGTAGTCCGTACCGGTAGTGAGCATTTTGACATTTCTACGAATAGCAACCTTTCTCCCGCGCTGATATCGCGCTGCTAAATTTGGTAACGCGCTTCTCACCGAGAGGCCGACTGCTATTTTGGTTACTCGTCTGGCAACCCCCGATACGGTAGCTGCACTATAACGCTGTCCAGACTGGAGAGTTATAACATGTTATAACGGTTGTCAAATAATTGCAACACAGAAACCACCATCAAGATAGCGCTATAACATGTTATAACTCTGTAGTCTGAACGTACTATATGATGAGGGCTGCTAAAATGAGTTTAGCAGCGCACCGTTACGGTTGCTCTTATTCGAGTGTGTTGGTGAGCTTCCGTTTAATGTTGCCTGCTTTGTTTGTAACTCACACAGTCGCGCCAGTAGAGACGAACTTGGAATGCGTCGGCATTGTTTTCATTTTCTTCTGTCGTTTCGCATTTTCTCATGATCATACTGCAGAAGTTGTCACTGTTTTCGTTGTGCTTTTCATCATCAGCAACGAGTGTAATGTCGTTTTCGTTTTTGCGGTGTAGCTACACCGGTGCTACACTGCCGTATACCGAAATAATTTAAGGTGTAGATATAGGATGCACCTTTGTTTACAAACAAATTATGTTGAGCTGTCAAAGACTCGCGCTTATTCCTGCTTACACTACACCGGTGCTACACCGCAAAAACGAAAACGACATAACGTTTTGCTTGTGAGCAGCGACCATTACTGGTGATTGTTGATTGCCATGGCTCTACCTCTCACTGCGTGACAAAACGTTCTGTCAACGATAGTCGGTTGATGCGTAGACGAGTGTTACGTGAGTGTTGTGATATTTTGCATCACTGGAAACGACTTCCAACATTTACGGAAATGGGCGCAGTTTCTGTACTCCTGCATCGACTTTCAGGTGTTTTATTAGCTTTAACCAAACACCTTGAATTGCATGCGGTAGAGCTCCAGACTTAAGCACGCAATCTGACACTCCAAGAATGAACATGATAATTTGAATCCCTAAATAAAAAGCATTATACAATGCGAATTATTTTATTTATTATTATTCTATTCACTAATATCAACCGATAGAAACTAACGATTTTAAATTGGCTCACTACTTGACTAGCCTGTTGGTCCCAAGCAAATCGATTAACGTAACCCATTCTAGTCGAAATTCTAGTTCTACACTATGTACAGCTTGGGACCGAAGAGAGTACCAGAGCTGAGTCAAAAAGTTGAGCACATTTCTTCGGGACCTTCTGGTCTGCAAACCTAAAAAAAATACCATGCGCGAGCGATAACCCAAATGGTTGAACTATTCAACAAATGGTGATACCCCGAAAACGTCGTAAAGCAAATTAACCATAACATTTTTATTAGGGAAGTGCAAATGAGAGGCTGAACTCAATATTAATAAAAAAAAAACAACTCAAATTTGGGTAGTATTTTTTCTCCGTGTACGTACGGGAACAATAAAATTTTAATATTTATGGTGGTAAGCTCCAACCGGTATTATCCTCGGATTAAATCCCGATCAAGAATGTCCGGCTGGTTTGATGTCGACATCAGAGTTAATCAACATAATTCTGAGCAAACATTTTTCAGATCATACAAACAGGGACGGTATTAAAAGTTAATCCGAGTTGGAGCTTACCGCCATTAATATTATAATCATTAATGTACACGGTAATCGCAAAAAACTCTTTTATGGCTATAAAGTACGCATTTTTGAAAAAAAAAAACGGGACTACACAGCAAAAAAAAGTTGTTGAATATTACATCGAAAGTGCTGCAACCAGGTCAATCCATTGGTTGTGTAATATCACATTGTACGATGTACATCGATTTTGCGAACAAAATTACTTCCATTGATGTAATATTGTATCTGCTTTTTGCTATTACATCAAGTATTACATCATTATTTCATACATCAGCTTGAATAACGTTGATCGATAACACATTTTTTTTTGCTGTGTACCCATAAATGACTAAAATTTTTCACATTTATGAGTAATTACTAGTATAAAAATTAATAAAATTTAGCAAATGTTCATATCAAATGTGTAAAAAATACACACATTTTAGGTGTAGTCCCGTTCTAGCCGAATATGCATATATAATAAAGTATACTTTATTGTCAACATTGAGTCCTTTATAGTCATTTTCGCGTATTTAGCGGTTTCCGTGTACCTCTTCGATGACTGTATTGAAATAATCGTGTATTCTCAAAACTCAAACCTAAACTGGGAGCCCTATCAACCGGTAGCGGCGGTTCCCATTTGAGAACTGTCAAAAGTCGTCTGTATGTTTACATCGTTTTCAACACGTGCGGGCTTACATTTTTTAGCAGTTTGTTGTTTCTCGATTGTTATTTAACTGGTGAATTTTGTGAATTTACAAAAGTTTTTGTAACGCTGTCCCAGCAAACTTTCGACTCATCCGGTTATCTAGTACAAACGAGTTCAAAATGGTTCGCAGATTGAGGAAAACCAAGAAGAATCAAAAGTTCAACTACAACCGAAATCGCAAGCGGCTGAACAGAAAAATGCACAGTACTGGCCATGTAAAATGGTAAGAGCTATCCACGAACCACTGGTATTCCAATTTCACTCTAAACATCTAAATTCCCACCGTTTCCAGTCCGGAGATCAAGGATGCGATGGACTTCCGGAAGAATCTCAACACCAACATCAAGGAAATGGGACTGGCGTTCGATGTGAACAAAACTATTCCGGTACCGAACGCCAAGCAGAACCGTCTCAAGCTGGCCAAGTATGTCAACGGTTTCCTGGAAGAAGATGCATTCGAAACAGAAGCGGACGAGCGGAACCCACCTTCCAAGATTCACGTTGCCGAAAGGTTGGAAAAGGATTCCAAAGAGTTTGTGGAGATTCGATTCCGGCTGTCGAAGGGCCAAGTCAAGTACATTACCGGACTGATAGATACGTACGGGTTCAACTACAAAGCGATGGCCGCCGACAAGCGGAACTACGATCAGGAGACGTGGCGTCAGCTGAGGCAGAAGGTGCGTCGGTTTTTAACCATTCCGCAGCAGTGTACGCCGTATCTGGAGCAGAAGGGATGGCTGGATTGCGATATGAACGATCCAAGCGATCCACGGTGGAAGGAGTTCGGCACCGATGATGAGGAGTGATGAAACGATATAGGTATGATTTACTTTTCTTATGCAATACATGTTAAGCGAAGATTGTTCTATTTATTCTTGTGAAAATCCTGTTTCCTAGTAACTTTTGGTCTAACCACCGAAGATGTTATGTCCAATTCCATGTCTAACGAATTGATCTGACGAAAATCAAAATACAGTGAAGGCACCATATTCGATGCAGTTACGCGACATGCTGGGTGATTACACTGGCAGCAGTAATGCGCTTTTTAAAGAATGCTGCATTGTATTTTAAAGTTTAGTCTTTTTGTAATTCCTTTCGGCTGCTGGGACATCTCTGCCTGGTGGGGGCCCTCCCGGTTCCCCCGGTGTAGAGCTCTGTCTTATTCAGATTTTAATGTTGTGTCTTTAATATGTTGTGTAATGTATCGAGCCAGGAACCAATTTTCGGTTGAAGTAAACACTGTAAAAAATTACTCTGTTGGAGGTCCTCCTTCTGAGGCCCCACCTTTCATGGACGAGATGAACTAGCCTATGGCTAAAATTCTCAAAAATAATGCTTTAAAAAAATGTCCAAACCTACCCAAATCCGTTCGTATTTTGCTTTGTTTTGGTATTCTTTATGGCAAAATAGTGAACCTTTCATGAGCATTAACGGCAAATAACTCACCAACATTGGCGGACCGTGAGTTCCAGCCCACCTGTAATTGCCCACCTAGGGTCGCACAGGGGTTTTCCCAAAAGTACGGCATTGATTACGATCAGGTGTTTGCACCGGTGGCGAAGCACATTGACATCATGACCGCGTACCTGTACGGCGTCGTGCTGCAGGAGGAGATATTCATGAAGCATTCTCCGGGCTACTCGAACGGCGTTCCAGATACCGTGTGCTCCGTTGAATGATATGGGATTTCATCGATCATCGGCTGACCCGTGTCTCTATTTGCGAATTGTGGACGGTGCACCGCATGGTATTTTTATTAGGGATGTTTACATATTGCCTTACGTGGACGATATCGTTGTCGTGTGTATAACGGAGCAGGAGTATCGAAGATTGGTCGGAGCTTTGAGCAAGCACTTCAAGATTGCGGAGACTGGCGACTTGAAGTTTTTCCTTGAGTCAGAAATCGTGCTGAAGATTTTGTCGCGGTTCGACATGGAGAATTGCAAAGCCTCTCGCGTGCCGATGACCAGCGGTTTCATACAACAAAAATAGGAGGATGGAGACTCATTGGCAGATGGACAACAGTTGGACTATTTGTTCCGACACTGCGCACTGTACCTGTCACATTGAACTTCATTCTGAACACGCTGACGATGCTTCAAACACTGGATTCCCGGGACGCGTCGTGGAAAGCACTTTGGAAGCCCTCGATCTCTCCGACACGGTCCTGCATACCGCTGCCTGCGCTCCTCAAAGTCGTCCCAGACCCGTTGTTGGATGTAGAGAGAGGGTCTTCCAGCCTGCTCTAGTAGGCAAGTACTACGTTAATGTTGGATTGCTTCTTCCTGATGTCTGTTCGAATTCCAGTGGTATTGTATGCAGCCTTCCACCACGGCTCCATCGGCCGACAACGCATCTGTTGCAGTTAGCGCTGTAAACGTAGCTCATCTCCTGCGCATATACAGGGTGCGTGACGAATTTTTGCAGTAAATGGCATATTTGAGAAAAAATACACCAGTTAGTTATTCTAGCAATGAATTTTGTGTGATTTATTTTCTTTCGCAACATATGGAAGTTGTAAGTAAATTTATTCAAAAAAATTGCCTTTCCTTTCGACGACTGTAGTTAGACGCTTCCGGAAACTGCAGCATGCACGTTTTAAAATGTTTCGATCCATAGATGTCATCACTGCCTTGATTTTAGATTTTAGCGACTTAAGTGTGGTGTGAGGGGTTATATTGGTATCCCGTTGGACGACGCCCTATACAAAATAATCCAACGGATTGATATCGGGAAATATTTTCCGTAAGCCATTTCTGTGCTTTATTAGCAGTATGAGCAGGTGCTCCGTCTTATCACTTTCCCAAGCCTTTTTTAATATTATACACTGTTCTTTCAGACACATTTACCGATCGAATTATTTCTTTCATGCATACTCCGGCGCGCAACAAAGCGACAACGGCTGACAGATTGCTCTCTTGTTTCGACATCTTTACGTTTACTCAACATTGTTTGTTTAAATCTTACACCTAACAGTATAAGCTATCCAGTGCTGCCAAATATATCTAAATCATGATGCACAAGCATGAGAAATTACTATTTGAAATTTATTGCAAAAATTCGTCACGCACCCTGTACTACCAGAATGTTAGAGGACTACGGACCAAGGTAGATTCGTTCTTTTTGTCCGCTAGCGAGTGCGATTATGATGTCATTGTATTGACGGAGACATGGCTCGATGGCCGTTTATGCAGTGCTCAACTGTGTAGCCGCACGGTATTTCATTCAAAGGAGTGCCGTTGCGGTTCTACTGAAAACCTCAATAAGCCCAGAAAACTACAAAGGTGGGGTGAGCTCGATCGTTCACTGTAAGGGAGTAGCTTAATCGCCACCTCGTTAGAGGACTACTCGCTCGGATATCAATTGCCCGGGATGAGACTCGTTAAAGAAAAGGCCATAAGAAGGCCCTGACGAACGGTTTGCAGAACGATCCAACTCCCCTCTACTTTCCTAGCGTCCGACTTACTAGATGTCCGAATCAGTAAGCAGGCATTACTCACTCTACCCTAACTCTCCGCACGAAAGGAAGCTTTTACCCAACTAAAGCTTCTCATCACTGGTAGTTTCCTCCACAATCCTCGAGATGGCGATTCCGTCACAGAAGGGGTAACGACCATTCATTAAAATTAATGGAACAAGACTAATTCAATGAACGAGCGCAAAAGGAGATTCCTCAGGTGAACTTCAACATCAATAACGCTAACACAGGTAGTGAAACATCGAGTTCTAACTCATGGTAACACAATTTATTTATTAAGACGATACTATTCTAGGCCTAGACTTCCCTACCTAAAACGTGCGTTCTCTCTAACCAGAACGTTCTTCCCTCCCGACGTCACATGTGCACATGGAAAACATTTAGCGGGTTGTACTCACGGTCTCGTTCTTACATGCGGGGGCCGGTGCGATTAAAATCCTTCGCAACCGGTGAGAAAAAGCGACGGTTGTCGCTATTGTCGCGCGCGATGACTCAGCTTACATGGGGTTTGCCGGTGCGATGTCCATGCTTTGCAACCGGCGAGAACAAACGACGGGTGTCGCTATTGTTGCGTGAGCTGGCTCAGCTCGCTATTGTTGGGTGGTGTTCTTTGTTGGTTTGGCTTGGCGGTTCAACCTCGTGTTCGACAGGCCGATGGTGAATCCACCTACCAGAGCGCGTTCGGTCAACTGAATCTCGAACGGTCACGATTCCGGTCACGTGGTCGGATTCGGATGCTGTACCGACGGATGATTCGCTCCGGACCGGGTGCGATGTTGATGGCACAGTCCTCCTTGGCCACACGATGACAATGGCCAGTAACGCTTGCCTGGTCTCCGGAAGTGTCCACTATACGAAACGTAGCTTTCCTAAACCCGAGAAATAAACCGTCGAACGGCTGTTCGATGAAAAGGTTTAGAGAGAAACGCTACCCTCACCAGTCCAGGCAAAGTGAACGGGAAAACTCGCGTCTTCGAACGAAGAATTCGGGTCGGGTTTCCATGTCATCTTTCTGACTGCAACCTCTCGCTCCCACCAGTACTCATCAAGGCAACCTTCACATTCCCCGCCCCATTCCTCAAGGCCGTCCTATAAACTTGACCTTTGGCTTTAGGCCCTATCCCGAGCAAATCGGGAGAGTACTTTAACGAGCGCACTTCTACTCCCCTACAGCGGAACAAGTATTTGAAATGCCCATGTTATGAGCTGGCCTAAGCATTGGCACAGTTTTATGGTATGATGCGCGCGCAAGGCGGCAAACTAAAAGTTTCGAAATAACATCGAGAGTATGTTGTATATTTAATGACACAGGTGTAATTTCATGTGATGTTCGATAGTAATTATTCAATTCAATTATATGTTTTAATAAGGTAGTTATTTGTACATATTTACAAAAATGGTGACTGTTACAACTGTTCGGAAATGCCTTTTCGGTTTATCGCACATACCGTAATGCCTCCAACAGTGCAAAAACCCGTGGTAGAGGTGTCCTAATCGCTGTTTTATCTCGTTGGAACAGTTATATCGATCCGACACCTGTTTCCGATGCTCTAGAACAGCTGTGGGTTAGAATCATTACGCCAAGTCGAGTTATTAGTGTAGGTGTGATCTATTTACCTCCTGACCGCCGTAACGATGTCATTGGTATTCAGGATCATGTGAACTCCATCGGTGCTATTGTTTCCAATTTGGAATTCAATGACTATGCTCTGCAGCTCGGAGATTATAACCAGCCTTTGCTCCGGTGGAGTAAGTCGTACGATGGGTCTTTCCAGGTTGAGCCTCAACCGGTTCTATCGGCTGCTAGTTCAACGCTTATCGACGGTTTCGCTTTACATGGCCTCACGCAGATCAATGGTGTATTGAATAGGAACGCTCGCTTTCTAGACCTTGTTCTGTCTAACGAAGCTGCAACTCTGGCATGCACCGTTTCGGAAGCCATAGAACCTCTGATCTTTCTTGATTCAGACTACCCTGCTTTAGACGTCCTGATGAACCTCCCAGCGCCAATCGTTTTTGAGGATTGTTCCGAAAATAATCGCACACTGGATTTCCGTCGAGCCGACTATGTTGCGATTAGTGCTGCTATTTCCGGTATCGAATGGCGACCATTAGAATTAGCTGGAGGTGTTGACGATGCCGTTGAATATTTCAGTTGAATTATTTGGGATATCATGGCTGAATTTGTACCTATTGCCCGCCCCGCACCAAAGCCACCGTGGTCTAACGGTCACTTGCGTCGACTGAAACGGTATAGGGCTAAATCACTACGGAGATACTGCCAAAATCGTTCGTACATTACTTAGCCGGAGTTCAACCGCACAAGTAACGACTATAGGAAATGCAACAGATTCCTGTATCGACGCTATGTCTTCTGCAC